GATGTCGCAGTGCCATTGAGATTTGCGCGGACTTGGTGGAATGTGCATTTGCGTGGCGCCGTGCCACTGGGGAGTGCGAAACAGGCTGGTGTAAACGCGGCGTGTCGCTGGTGAGCGGGATGATTCGTGGTATCATGTGACATGTTTGCTTCTAGTGTATGGGCAGACCCTGTGGCGACACGACGTTCGTGATGTCGCAGTGCCAGTGGAATTTGCGCGGCCTTGGTGGAGAGTGCATTTGCGTGGCGCCGTGCCGCGAAACATGCTGGTGTAAGCGCATGTGTTGCTGGTGAGCGGTGCGGTATCGTGTGATATGTTTGCTCGTAGAGACCGTGTGGGGAAATTACGTTCGTGATGTTGCAGTGCATTGGGAGTTGCGCGGCCTTGGTAACTTGGTGGGAAGTGTGTTTGCGTGGCGCCGTGCCACTGGGGAGCGCGAAACATGCTGGTGTAAACGCGGCGTGTCGCTGGTGAGCGGGATGATTTGTGGTATCATGTGATACGTGCGCTTCTAGTGTGTGGGCAGACCGTGTGGCGACGCGACGCGCGTGATGTCGCAGTGCCATTGAGATTTGCGCGGACTTGGTGGAAAGTGCGTTTGCGCGGCGCTGTGCCAGAGGGGAGCGCGAAACAGGCTGGTGTAAACGCGGCGTGTCGCTGGTGAGCGGGATGATTGGTGGTGTCAAGAGTGTCCCAAAAGAGTGCCCCGCAAGAGCTTCCTACAAGAGTGACCCAGAAGAGTGTCGCACAAGAGTGTCCCACAAGAGTGTCCTACAAGAGTGTCCCACAAGAGTGTCCTACAAGAGTGACCCACAAGAGTCTCCCACAAGAGAGTCCCAGATAGAGTGTACCACAAGAGTGTCCCGTATGAGCGTCCCACAAGAGTGTCCCACAAGAGTGTCCCGCGACAGTGTCCCACAAGAGTGTCCTCAAGAGTCGCCCACAAGAGTGTCCCACAAGAGTGTCCTACAAGAGTGTCTCACAAGAGTGTCCCAAAAGAGTGTCCCAGATAGAGTGTCGCAGATGGAGTGTCCCACAAGAGTGTCCCGCCAGAGTTTCCTACAAGAGTGACCCACAAGAGTGTCCTACAAGAGTGTCCCACAAGAGTGCCCCACAAGAGTGTCCTACAAGAGTGCCCCACAAGAGTGTCCCACAAGAGTGTCCGGTAAGAGTGACCCACAAGAGTGTCCTACAAGAGTGTCGCGCAAGAGTGTCCCACAAGAGTGTCCCACAAGAGTGTCCCATAAGAGTGACCCACAAGAGTGCCCACAAGAGTTTTCCTACACGAGTGACCCACAAGAGTGTCCTAAAAGAGTGCCCCGCCAGAGCTTCCTACAAGAGTGACCCACAAGAGTGTCCTACAAGAGTGTTCCACAAGAGTGTCCTACAAGAGTGTCCCACAAGAGTGTCCCACAAGAGTGCCCTATAAGAGTGAGTGTCCCACAAGAGTGTCCCACAAGAGTTTCCCACAAGAGTGTCCCACAAGAGTGTCCCAGAAGAGTGTCCCACAAGAGTGTCCTACAAGAGTGTCCCACAAGAGTGTCCCAGAAGAGTGTCCCACCAGAGTGTCCCACAAGAGTGTCTCACAAGAGTGTCCCACAAGAGTTTCCCACACGAGTGTCCCGCAAGAGTATCCCACAAGAGTGCCCCACAAGAGTGTCCTACAAGAGTGTCCTACAAGAGTGTCCTGTAAGAGTGTCCTACAAGAGTGTCCCACAAGAGTGTCCCACAAGAGTTTCCCACACGAGTGTCCCGCAAGAGTATCCCACAAGAGTGCCCCACAAGAGTGTCCCACAAGAATGTCCCAGAAGAGTGTCCTGTAAGAGTGACCAACAAGAGTGTCCTACAAGAGTGTCTCACAAGAGTGTCCCACAAGAGTGTCCCACAAGAGTGTCCTACAATAGTGTCCCACAAGAGTGTCCCACAAGAATGTCCCAGAAGAGTGTCCCACAAGAGTGTCCCGTAAGAGTGTCCCACAAGAGTTTCCTAGAAGAGTGACCCAGAAGAGTGTCCCACAAGAGTGTCCCATAAGAGTGACCCACAAGAGTGTCCCACAAGAGTGTCCTACAAGAGTGTCATTTGGACATATGTAATGTAGCTTTTTGAACGTGTTTGCATTCGGGTTCGTGGGCTCCATCTTGTTTTTTAATCCCAAAACTGACGGAGTCCGGGCCTCCTTTCTTGACCTCCCCAACTCAGGCTGTATGACATGGTATGACTCGTGACTGAACAGATTCTGTGCTGTTCCTAGGCCTTCCTCGCTTGAAGGCTCAGACATGAGTATCTTGGCCATCTTTTGGTGCCAAGTTTGCGAAGCTTTTTCCAAGATGTCTCAGGTACAGGTTTACGTATCCAAGCAAACGAATTTAGAGAATAATATTGGCAGGGAGCTCAGTGGCGCAAGCTTTAGTGTATGAGCTGTTTCACAAGACCTGCCAGCAGAAACCAAACTCCAGATTTCACAGCAAACCGCAGAATTGAGGAATGTATAGAACTTATAGTTACGTATATATATATAGAATGATTGAGCAATCTGTACAATGTATGGCATCTCTTCCTTTGTCAATCTCAGGCTCAGAACGGATGACTTTGCTTGTTCCGATCAATCTCCAACACGGTGCCTGAGTTCGCCTTGAGAGGGGGAAGGTGAAAAGTTAGCACTGCGGCACAGCTTGGTGTGTAAAGTAAAGCTTACATTCATGGATCGCACACTGGTAGATACAAGGTGTCCAAGTAACATCACACCGTGAACAGACTTTTGAGGATGGGTGAGAGAGACAAATCTCGCCTGACTAGAAGTGCACACCTGGCAGACAGTCACACAGAGAGTAAGACACCAGCACAAACCATTTCCACCTCAACGGTTTCTTGTTTGACTTGTTTGCCAATTGTTGTTAGACATGCTTTGGATTGTGACGAGTGTCAGTCGTGAATCTGAAGGGCGTCCACTGCCAAATGGTACTGTACAGAAACATGGGGCTCTGTTTACAGTGCCTCACTTCGCTACCCTCACCAAGTGCGAGAATCCACAGAAACATTGTCAGAACCAAGGTATCGTTTTATTGTCGGCCTTGAACTTGACCTTTCGTAAACAAGCACCATTTGACTGACTCTTGAGGGAGGATGTGTATTTTTGGCCCAGAGTGTGTTCGCTGGGACCTGAAGCAAGTGGCCCCGCCGTGTGACCGATGTATCGTAGCACCTAGACTTTGCACTCTCTCTCTCTCTCTATATATATATTTCAAGACATTTAGCAACTTTTGGTCGCAAGAACTACGTCATAACTGCATATTAACTTTGAGCTATCTGAAAGCCTGGTCGGCATTTAGAGGTTTGGTTGATGACATATCCTTGCGCTTTAGATCAATACCTTCTTAGCATGCCAGTCCCCATTATCTTCCACTTGGTCTCATGACTGATGACAGGGTGGATTTACGTATTGTGCACAAATTGTTTTGTGCACACTGTGGTTTTCATTTGGATTTCGATTCTATTCAGCACGCAGCGATGAACAACTCCGTCGGTTTTGTCTCCCTAGACTGTGATGTCATGAGTGAGGAATACAGGGCTGGCTCTGATGGGTGCCTTTCAAAAGAGACACAAAAGACGTGGGTGCTTTCACAACCTCTGTTTGGGCATCAGCTGGGCAGGGTGCTCTCTAGGGTGCGGAGGGTGGTGTGGAGGTACGTCCTCAATACAGGAGAACACGCGGCAGTTCAGGTGAAGCCCCCCTTGTTTGTCAATTTTTGATACTAGTAGTGTCTTTGCTCCTAGTAGCGATGCCCTTGTTCAGTAGCGAGATGGTGGGCTCATAGGAGCCGACCAAGATGTCTTGAGGTTCAGCTGCGCGGTGCAGATTGATCTGTGAATGGGGACGGTTGAGCTATGTTTTGCCGGGAACGGAGTACGAAGTTGAACGATGTGAAGCATACATTGACAATGTGAAACAATGTAGTTAAAGTTAAAGTATTCCGACTTCTCCAACTTTTTGTGTTCTGCAGTTTGCTTTGTTCCTGGCGTCCACAGCTGGCAGAGCCGGGAGGGGCTTTGGCAGCGGCCGCGGTCGACTGCTGGAGCAAACGGTGCACCCTCCCCTGATGGGCCGCGAGCTCGGAATCAAGTCGAACAAGTTGTTCACATCATTTTCTACTGTAGCTGCTAGCTGTTCCTCCATGTGAAAGAGTTTGTTTTGACAAATCGGAAGAAGATCCACCATGAGAAAGCGTGTAGGTTTCCACCTTGGCAGCGCACCTGGAGCCGACATGCCAAGGCTGTCAAGCTTGGAATGGCCTTTGGCAAGATTCCTGCTGAATTGCCTCGTGCTGCATCGTGCTTGTTGGTTTTGCCCCCTTCGGATTCCCTTTATCACCCTTTATCAATCACCTCAGCTTCTCTTTCTTGATATCTCTACTGGAGCAGGTCTCTACAACATGCGCAGAATTGCTGCAAAGTACCAATTGCAAGGCTCAAGCCTTGCTTCTATTTTCTGGAGCTGCACTGGCCCTGCAGGGCTGCATTCAAGTCCACAAGTTCAACATGTACTTGAAGCGCCTCTTGTGTTGCCCTGGTCAGACACAGCGACAGTAGTTTCCATCTTCCTTGGCTGAGACAGCCTTCGGAAGATTTTCAGGAAAAGCGTCTTGCGAGGATTCGCAGATGAAGGGACGGACGCAGCTTTTCGGAGAACCGGCATCGCTGGCTCCAGGAAGGATGAATTGGTTTCAGGCGATCATTATGATCACCTTTCAAAAATGGCCATAGAGTGAATTGCGAAGTGAAAGGCGCTAAGATGATGGCCGAACATGTTATTGCCCTTCTTGTCACCCTCGATTGAGCAACTTGAGAGAATCTTAAAGGCACCCTTACATGTGGCGCACAAACAAAAACAGCAACTCCTTAGTTCCCTGTCCAGCAACATTATCTACTCCATGCATGTTGATCCAATGTCACTTGAGAAGTTCTTTGACTCGAGAGCTTCAGCAACAACTCGCCCAGTGCAGGACTAATCGGCTGTGAGAGCTGTGACGAGACAATCTCTGACATCTTCTGCCTGGGATATGAAAAACAATTACACATTTCGGTTGAGTGCCACATTCACGAATTCTGCTCTCTGTGGATGGGAATAACAGAAGATGCCGAGGGGATTGCACAAGGCTCTCCCATGGTCTTTTGAGAACTGAACCCGCCCCAAAGGGCTCGGTACAGAATAGACATAGATTTAAGCCGACTGAGTTCTGACCAGGTCGATGTGCACATGTGAGTGGATGTTGGGCCTGGATGTCAAGCGTACAGGAAGCTCAGTCTTGCCAAAACAGAATGTTTGAGTCTTCAGTCTTCTGACAAAGCGACTTGCATGCAATGTGGAAAGCAAGCAATCATGACGCACATGGAAGCAGCCGTCTAACTCAATTTTAGCTTGCGCGATAGATGGCCCCCATCAGATTGACATCTTCGTGACTATGTTGCACCTCAGAGGTTCTTGCGCTTGACATCCCTGGCCGCTGACAAATTGGCATTTGCAGCATTTGTTGACTGGTGTTTTTGGTTGCAGTGCGTTGGTAGTTTAAAACTGTACCTCAGATTAGCAAGCCTTGGCTTGCAGCGTAGGCGTAGGATGCAATGATGTGGCGGCTGGTCACAACCTTGTTTTTCTAATGGTTTGCCTTGCTCCCAAACATGGGCGATTGGTTTCCTGGGGTTGAGGCCAAGTCAGTTTGGCAGCTCTCAGAATGTGGTAGCAGTCTCGAGTGAGCCTCTCAGCCCAGACAGCGGGAGGGCTGATGCTGCCATTCATTTATGCAGGGGTGCGGGTGGGCTGGCTACATAGAGCACCCTAGAGCTCCAAACCGACTGTTTGCCAAAATTTGAAGCACACAGTTCTGACTTCCAAACTCTCGCAAACAACCAAACCCTCCGTATCCCTCCATTCTTCCTTTTCCCGAACGTGTAGCGGGTGGCATGTGTTCGCGGATTGTTGTGTAGCAACCGTTCAAGCGGATGCTGTGTCCGGCCTCTCCATTGGGGAAGAATTTGGAGGTCTTAGATTCTTAGGTGGATGGACGATGTTTGCACCACCGTGCCATACTGATCAGCTTTGCAATGCGGCGTATTGGAGTTGTTGAATGTGGACGAGTTGCTGTTTCAGGGTCTTGCTTTGCAGGTACTGGTAGACAATGAACACTGTAGTAGCTAAACATGATTAACCATACCTAAACATGCACTTGCACTGGTTCATTCCAAACGAGAAGTGTGTACTACAAGTGTTGAGCGAGGGTGGTTGACAAGTATCCTGCAAGATTGATGGGTAACAATGTTCTACAAGAGTGATGCAACAGTGTCCTACAAGCATGCTTTTCAAGAATGGCGGGCGAGAGTCGGCGAGAGCCGGCAAGAGCGACCTAGTCCAAAGAGTGTCGCAGAAGGGTGTCCTAGAAGAGTCTCCTGCAAAAATGTAACCCGCAAGAGTGTCCAAAAGGAATTGTGCAAATGCGTCCTGGAAAAAACACTCACCGAGAGTAGTTATCTTTGAAGAGGTGTGTCCTGCAAGAGTATCACGCAAAACCGTTCCGCAAAAGAGCAAAGTGAGTCTAATCACAAGAATCTCACAGAGTCTCACACAACCGTCCTGTAAGAGTGCTTTGCAAGAGTGCCGTTCAAGAGCAAAAGAATCTCAAACAAGAGTGTCTTGCAAGTGTATTGCAGGAGTGCCGCTCAAGAGTGCCGCTCAAGAGTCCTGCAAAAGTCTTCCAGAAGTGTCCTGTAAAAATGTCGCACACGAGTGTCCTTCCTTGCTGTATGTACCAAACAAAGCGAGCTTTGCTTTCTATTTGGATTCATGGCTTCCATCAGATTATGCAAGGGTTTTCTATTACCGTGGCAAACCAACATAAACATCATAAACCAACCATTTAAGACAGATTATTGATGGGTGCTTTTGACAGCATCAAATAGGGCGCCACTATGGCACCTTTGACTTCAGGATTCCATTGCTTTTCGCAGCTGGCCGATACCGACCTGAATCCAAACTACATCGCATTCTTTGCTACGGCGACAGCCTGACAGCAGGTGCAAAGTTGGCTTGATTTTGACACGTGTGAGACAAATTCCTGCCAATATTTTTCACACAGAAATAGGAGCAATGGGACTCACACAATCCCGCCTCGACTGTCAACATTGTTCAAATCCTATCAAATATCCCTGGTTCTAGACGGACTTGTCCTACTCCAGTCCTGGTCACTGATTGCAGGCTTTTATCAAGGCGGGCATTGGTTTCAGCCCTACGGCCGCATTCTCGCTGATGAACTCGCAGCATATGGTGGACGGTGTGACTTGCCAGAGATTGGAGGTGGCTGCATGACTCTCAGTTTTTTGAGCAACCAAATTCTTTCGGTTCCGGTGGCTTTGGTCGCACGGCTGAAACTTATGAAGGAATGGAGGAAGGGAAACGCTAGCAAGAAGCCTAATGTGTGTGTGTGTGTGTGTCTACCCCTTGGATTCAGAGGTTACCTTATCGGAAGCTTATACCCGCGTTTTCGACTCAAGTTGGGCCCAGCTACGGTATGTTACAACGCTGAAGCATGCATGACCCTCCAAGTTTCACTCAAAGATGCATAGGCACCATTTTTCATGATGCCTTCAGCGATAAAACCATCTTGGAAGGATTCCTCCACATCCAAATCCTCAGGATTTTGGTCCAACATTGGGCGTGAAGCTTTTCCCGTGGGTCTTCGAAGCTTTTGAGACTTTCTGGCGGCAACAAACTCCTCATTGAACCTGATGATCCAAGGCATTTTGGGCTTGGTACAGTGTCCAAATCTTGAAGGTCTCGGCCGCCACCTTCGTCATGCAATCTGCCAGGTTCATGTCCGAAGGAACCCAAGTCGGGTAGCAGTTGGAGCCATCTCGAGTGCCTCTCTGGACTGCCATCAACTCAATGCCTGTCTTGGCACTGTTCATTCCCAACAACGGGCTGTCACTGTTCGACAGTGCGTCATAGCATCCACGACTGTCCATGACCAAAAGGCTTTCAAACATTGAAGACAACTCATTTGCATTGCACCTGCTAAGGCGGTTGCCATAGGCCAATGCCACATGATTCTCATCTTCCACCCAGCGTTCTCAGTGACATAGAGTGCTTGAGCCTCTGAGCCGTTCGACCCTCACACCGGTCGATCCAGCTTCTACGACCTATAAGTCCAAAGCTCTCATCTTTGAAGGAACAACAGTCAGAATCTTTGAGGATGCCACACATGTAATGAAGCCACTTGATCACCTCCAGGTCAACTGCTCGCCGGGAAGACTGTGAAAAACAAGTCCCTCTTGACTCGTCTTCTTGAGCTCTTTCACAATGCTGTTGGCCTCTTTCAGAAAGGACAAAGTTGGATTTGCCAAGGAGGACGCGGAGGTGCTGTCTGCCCTGTCCGCCATTGAGCCTTCATTAACAAGCCACGAGCTTGTGTCAGCTCGGTTGCGGTGAGCTTGTCATCTTTTGTTCTCTCCTTCTCACGGTCAATGACCACTGGCTTCAAGTCATTGCAAAACTTATCTTGAGAGATCTTGATGCTGAAATCCTGAAGCTGCAAAAGGCGAACTCCAGCGACAGTGAAATTGCCCTTTTTCCATGGACTCCATTGATACATTGCGAGTATATATTTGATTCCTCACTGACACCCAATCTTCATCTTGAAGATTGCCACACAACAAAACGTCATCGACATGGGTGCCAATTCTGCCACAAACATCACCTGCGCAATTATTGCACTTGTCAATGCCACGCGGTTGAACTCCCCTGTCTTGGATTTTCTTGTCAGCATCTAGCCAAAGCTCACGGGGTGCAGTGGTTAGCTCGTTAAATCGCTCCTACTATTTAACAAGTAGTGCCATACGGGACATTCATTGCTGCTGCAATCTCTGGGACTCCTTTCGTGAAATTGAACGGGCACCTGCGCACTTGCTTCTGGGACGCCTGAAGAAATTCTGAACGTGCATCTGCACACTCCAGGGTATGTCTATCTAAGGCTGCTGCTTGCAGGATGGTGTTTCTGCGCATCCTGGACAAAGTCGGAGATGATGTGGGAAGCAACTGCGTGCCTGTCCTCTCATCTCTCTTGCCCAGATCTGGATGTAGCGCCCCTTGGCTTTTGCTGTGCCATCTTCTCTGATGACTCCTGGTTGAGGTTCTTTGGAAGGATCTTGAGGTTCATCAAATGGTTTCCAATAAGAAGCCATCTCATTGGGATGCATCACTTTTCGATCTCCTCTGGGTCTTTGGCAGTGAGGTTGCGGAAGTTGATCTCTTTCGTTGCCTCCATAATTTTCTTGACATGCAAGGTTCAACCTCTTCGCCCTTCTCACAAGCCTCCATCACAAGCGTGATCAATCTCGCTCCTGTTTTTGCTTCACTCTCAATCTGATCTCTGAGTCTCTGACGTCGGTCAACAGCTCAAAGTCTCCTCCAACTGCTCCACCTAATCAAGCTCTCATAGGCTTCCTCAGCCACTGCTAGATCCTGGGCACCATCTAAGCGGTAGCGCTCAACATGCTCCATGTCTTCATTTGACGAAGGAAGCGGTGGTAATTTCTGCCGCTGAACTGCTTGACTGAGAAGGCAAAGCAACTGAGGTTGGATCAAACCCTCTTTCATGCTGAATGTCCTTTTTCAAGATGTCTGACATGGGAATGTTGAAACGCTGCCGCTGGCCTTGAAGCATCTCTGCGATTGTGATCTCTGTTCACTGGCCTTCCTCAACTGTTCTGGTGAGCAACGCCACACTTGTGTGCCCATCAGCGCCCAAATGACGGCTTCACCATGGCTGAAGTCCGTGTTTCGACGTGGTACACTATTCTTTAAACTTTAGACGAGTCCATGCTTCTTTTGCTCATTCATGTCTCCACATCTCCTCCGCCTCATGTCTCAACTTCTGTCCTTGCCAAAGCTATAGGATGCTTGAGGTAGATGTGCATTGAACTCTTGTGGTTGAACTTCGTTGTTGACCTTGTCTGGATCAAAGCCATATGCCCATTGAATTGGAGTGTAGCCTCCAACGGAGTAGTGGTGATT